GCCTGTAGTGCAATGGTGGTATTGCATCCGAGGACAAAAGGTCGCGCGCTTGAATCTCGTGGTAGTCAATGTTGGGATTAGGTCTAGCTGGCTGATGACGGCTAATAAGCTAGAAGTAACCATTCCGGTCCTTATGGTCTTTGTCGTTTCCACTTCGTCAGTATTGAGGTGTTTATATCTGGCCTGATTGAACACATAGAACTGATATTTCTAACTTAGTTCCGTCGTCCATGTATGTACCCCCGCGGCCTGATCTTTGCAGTCCGCTATCAGTTTAAATACCCCTTACGTCGATGCATGAAGCATGAATAAGAATTGTAAGGACTATGCTGTCTGTCTACGCTTGGTTGATCTCGACATTAATGACTGGACCGAAAGTTCACTTGAGGAAGTATGTCTGTTTGCTGTCCACATACAAGCTGGAAATATCCATTTGAATTTCCGTGCCCCTGCTAGACAGAAGTCCTTCTAACATTATTTATTATTAGCTGTTGTACCATTATGGTCATGGAACAAATGGTGATGTGATCGCACATATTTTCGTGGAACCTCATTGTTAATAATCACTAAACTGTCTTTGTAGGTGCTACTTCCGATAACATGCATAGCTTTTTTTATTACCACTCACTCACCTGAGCACTATTTCGAGGCTATACAAACCGCAGCCACACTTCGAAAGTGCGTTTCTCCAATGTTCCTTTGTGCTATGAAATCGTATCTGCTAGCCTGTCAAGAATTACTCATTACAGTTTTACTCCCCTAGAACCTTTGAGGAGCATGCTTGTACTGACCGCGGATGGGTCGATTACCCGCTACACACCGGATGACCACCCCAATGTCAACCTCCTTTCCATTTCAACGTTGTCTGTGCCAAAACATGATCTGCTTACCACAAATGCCGCCTGGAACTCGGCAGCCGGAGGGTCTACCGGCTTTTTTGGTTACTCCTCTGACTATCAGTCGTCAGAGGAGGGGGATGAACTCGCCAGTTCTGGTCCATCGCTCGTGAACGGCTTTTCTGTCCAATGGGCCACAAGCCATAGGGTGGTGGCGATGGCACTGGAGGAGTTGACAAATTCTGGCGTCTTCTATCTTCTTAGGCCGGTGTGTTCGGTAGGTGCGGCGAGTGGACGACGGGGTGCCGGAAAAATGAATTCATTCTACGGGAACAAGCCTCCTGGTGCCTCACACCAGCGACGCCCTCTGCCTCAGCGAGGTCATATACCAGCACACAATCTTATGCGCCTTGCCTTTCTGGACTTTGCCACTGGCAGAGTGCGCCTTCTGGAAGGCGGACCACGTATGTTTTTTCGCCTTTTTGGTACCTTATTTTACTTGCCATATTGGCTATCAACTTGACTAAACCACTGTGGGGCTCTCGCATTAATGGGCGTTTGACGGCCTACTATAACCAAATTCAGTAGCAACGTAATTAACAGTTTATTCGTGAAGCCTGCGAAAAACAAACCGCAACCATAGTTTTGGGTACATACAAAGGCTTGCAATCAGCGACACTTAGGCGTAAACAATAAACCGGTGGCCT